GGGCTCTTGCAATTGGGGGGAAGGGGCAGACTCTGAACACCCATGTTAGCATCTCCCTGGGGCTATTACAATGGGGGGGGTTGTTGCAGCTAGTGCAATGGGGGGGAGAGGGCCTGCACACCCATGTTAGCAGCCCCCTGGGGTGATTGCAATGGGGGAGACTGTTAGGGCTACTAAAATGGGGGGTGGGCATCCATGTTAGTAGCTCCCTAAGGCTATTTTAATGGTGGGGGGAGGGATGTTGGGGCTAATGTAAGGGGGGGACCCTGGGCATCTGTATTAGCAGCTCCCCGGGGGAACTGCAATGGGGGTGGGGGGCTACTGGAGTTATTGCAATGGGGGGGACCCTGGACACCCATGTTAGCAGCCCCCTGGGCCGATTGCAATGGGGGGGCGGTTGGGGCTCTTGCAATGGGGACGCCCCGAGCCCGGGGGGGCACCCCCCGACCTCACCCCACGACGGAGACGACGGCGGCCGCCAGCACCAGGTAGTTGGTCTGGTAGTAGAGCAGGTTGCTGACCACGCGGTGGTTCCACTTGGACACGTCCCCCAGGTCGGGCCGCGAGAAGCGGTCGCGCCCGGGGAAGAAATCGTCCCAGGGCCGCAGCGGCGCCGCCTGCACCTCCATGGCTGCACCGCGCCCGCCCGCACCGCTCCCGGGGACAGCGCGGGAGGGGCCGGCTCTGCGGTTCGCCGCGCCGCTCGCGGGGTGGAACCGGCGCGGGCGGGCGGCTTCGGAGCCTGCCCTGCTGCTGGCTGCTCCGCTCCGCGCTCATTGGCTGCCTGCGCAGCGAGGGGGCGGGGCTTGCAGGCTGCATTTAGTGAAATCCTTTACTTTTGCATTAATGAAACGATCCCGGGTTTGCAAACGTGCCGGGATGGAGAGGCCCAGCCTGCTCCAGGGTGGGGAAGTTTCTCCTCCTCTCCAACCTCCGTTTCCTCCACTACTGCTGGAGTGCAGGCTCCTGGTCCTGTCCCTTAGAGGAAAAGCCCATCTATAATCATCACCCCTGAAGACGTCTCCCATCCCAAGCAGATGTAGCATCAACTTAAAATATAACACCTTCAAAAGGCTTTTTTCTAGGGGATCCATTGGCCTTTTTAGATGTGTCGGGTTTGTCCATCCGCCGAGCGGGCGCAGTCTTGCCATAAATGCAGTGAAGCAGTGAGAGCGGCCCTAATGTAACACCTCTGATCAGCCACCACTTGGGCCCAAGACCACAAAAGGGTGTAATTGGACTGTGGTGGGATTCAACTCCCTAATTCCTAAATTATGACCCTCAACCCATCAACTCAGCTGCTGCTTACTCCTCGACAAGCCCCAACCCTCATAGGCGCTTCGCATTTAATCACAACTTCTGTGCATGTGCCAAGCAGCAGGACTGAACGGCTCCATGCCTAGCTCAGGGCTCGTCAAGAACCATCAACAAGGTGTTGCTCTGTCTGAAGGGCTGGATCCGGGAGGTTTCTCAGAGCTCACCTCGTAGCTCATGCACTGCACAAAATGCTACTTTAAAAAAAAACACAGCTAGAGATAGGGCTGCTGGCACGCCCCTCTGATCAGTGATTTCGGTATTCACATAGGGAGGACATCCAGATTTTACACTCTCTTCTGTCTGGGGAGATTCAAACCAACAGCACCTAACTAGAAGAGGGGAGTTACGAGTTCCAGATCCTACTTCAAGCACTGCTATGCTGTCTACCAGGAGTAAAATTAAATTTCAAAAATAACTAAAATATGAACTACAATTAAAAAAACAATACTCTGGGTTTAAAAGTGAGGTTTAAATAGCACTTTATTTATAACATGTCTGCAAACAACCGGTGCCCACAAAAAGGCCTGTTTTGACAGCTACGGTACAGGTTGGCTCCACATGTTTGATCCCTTCTTACGGAGGTATTTGATTACAATTCTGATTTCACTCTTCTCCATTTTTCAGATTTCCAGTTACGGACATGTCAAATATACTAACAACGAAACACACAAAAATATCCATACGTTGATCTTTGATATGTTGGGCCCTAGCATTTCATTAAGCTGGCAGGACTAGATACTTTTCAAATGCCACTTGAGAAACAATCCATCTGCAAGAGCTCCAGCTTGGGGGCTGGACTCGATGATCTTCTGAGGTCCCTTCCAGCCCTAATGTCTATGAGCTGGTTTCACTTCAGAGATTGCAGCTGGGTGTATGCTTCCAAGCTTTGCCACTGGTTGGTAGGAGTGTGAAAAACTGTCTCCAACAACCACAGCTGTTTTGGCAAAAGCTCTAGTGCAAGAAGAGTTAAGCTGGTTAAAAAAAGCCCTTTTACTGCTGAAACTTTTGTTGAGGGACTGGTTGTACAAATTATACTGGCAACTATGAGGTATGCCAGTACTAGGAGGGTTTGCCAGTATTATCACTCTATCTGCAAAGCTTTTCCAGCTTAGTCAAGGTCTTGGCAGCTAGCTGCTCCATCTCCCCACCCTGCTCCACCCGCACGGCTGGTTCCTCTCCTACTTGCATGAAGAAATGCTGGTAGTATAATTGATATGCAGGGTATGCATCTGTACCAGTCACAAAGCCAATTACTGGTAGCACTGATAACATGAAAAATACTTGTGAACAATTGTAAATGGCTCATGCCTGCCATATGGCTGGATGACAATTGCTTCATAAATTAATATGCAAAGGCTGACACTGCTCTCTCGCTGGGTGAGGCTGTCAGGGGGCAAAGTGCACCCGACATGTCTGGTGTCTGCCGGAGGGCATGCCTATTGGTGTCCCTTCAAGCACCTACGGTAGCGGTTCACAACCTTTTTGTAGGTGTGAGGTACCCCTTATTAAATTTGTGCCCCCCCCGCCTAGAAAATGCCAGCTCTTAAGTTTGCACTCAGTTTTTCCAATCATGGAAAAACAACCAAAACATTTTTCTGCTGCAAAGAACACAGAAAGCCCACAATTTTTTGACACTGTGGGAAAATCTCCTGGTTTATCTCGTGAATCATGTTTGCACGCTTCGAGGGGCTCACACTGTGGGGCACCTGGCAGCACCCTTCAAAGGCTCTCAAAGCACCCCAAGGAGCCGCAGCACTCTGCTTGGGAGTCCCTGCTCTGTGGAAGCTTCCTCCTTGCTCCAGCGCTTGCCAGTGTCTGTTTTCCATTATTCTTCTGCTCCCTGTACAGGCAGTCCCCGGACTTATGACACAATTGGTTCATCTTAAGTCAAAACGTTGCAACTTGGAACCGATTTTCCCATAGGAAACAATGTTATAAATGGGGGTTGGTTCCTGAACCAAAACCCGATCCCCTATTTTCACCAAAAATAACCAGGAATTTTGTACTCAATCAATTATAGATGAGTAACATAGCTACATTAATATTTTTATACTGTAAATAGCAATCATACTGATTTGGAAGGACTTCTTTGAGGTGACTTTGCTGGACTTTTTGAAAGGCTCTTGGCTGGATTTTTTGAAGGGTTCTTGGCCGGAGCCTTCTCAGGAGTCCCGGCTGCTTTCTTAAAGAAAGCGTCCAAGGAAGTTCGGACAGACGTTCTCCAGGGAGACGGGCGATGCAACGTGGCGCGGCATCGGATCAAGCGTCGCCAAGTCGCATCTGATGTCACAAAGTTGAAACAGGGTGTCGATTTAGAGACTTGGTAAGTGCAAAACATCATAACTGGAAACGTTGTCAGTGGAGGACTGCCTGTATTCTGCAGGATTTGTAGCATCCTATGCTCCAGATGATGCCTTGTACACTCTATAGCAGTGGTGCTCAACCTTTGTTTCATGCTTTATGTGATGAGCCCCATGCACTCCGTGCGCCCAGCGCTGTGCGTTGCACTAGGGACCAGGCTCTACCCAAACGCCTGCCCCCTGCCTGCCCTGAAGGAGCAGTGCTCTCCGGCGCCTGCGCACTACTCTCCGCACCCGCGCACGGCCGTGACGTAACCCTGTCACTAAGGCGATTGGCGGACCCCTCCCAGTCAGCCCGCTCCGCCCATCCCTGAGCGGGCCTCTCTGTCCTCTCGCTGACTCGATGCTCTGAGGCGCCGCTCTAGCCGCGTGGCGCCCGGCGAGTCCCCAGAACGGGAGCAATGGCGGATGGCGCGGAGCCGTAAGTAGCCGGGCGGGCCCCTCCCCCGCTCCCCGGCCGGGTGGGCCCCGGGCTCTGCAGCGCGGGACTGACCCTTCTTTTATTCTCTCTCTTTTTAGGGAGAAGAAAAGAAGGAGGATAGAGGAGCTGCTGGCGGATGGGTTAGTGCGGGGCTGCGGGCCGGGCAGCAGAGCAGAGCCGGGGAGGCCGGGCTGAGGGGCTGGGGCAGGCTGGGGTTGGGGGGGAGCAGCGTTGCCAGGTGCACGTGGTGGGACACATACACACACACGATGGGATGGGCAGGAGAGCCCCAAATTGCTCGAAAATGAGGGGTGCACTTATGATGCAAAACCCCGAAGCGCACCCTGGCCCTGCTCCTCCACGACTGGCTGCGAGACCTACCCAGGAGATAAAAAACAGGCTGGGCAGCATCATTTATTTAATTTTTTTTTTTTTTTGGCAGTGTGCGATAGTTTCTTTTGTGTGGAGCTTGGTTTCCTCTTTAGGGATCTGGCAGGGCTGTGGGGCAGGGTGGCGGCAGCACAAGGACCAGGCAGGGTAGGGCGGTGGGGTCCGGGCTGTGCCCGGGTAGAGGAGGTGGGTTACGGGGGTGGTGGTGTCCAGGCTGTGTCAGGAGGTAGAGGAGGTGGGTTATGTGGGGGACAGGCAGCTGTATTAGGTTGGGGAGGGGGCTCTTGGCAGCTGAAGCTGGGGGTCAGGGCAGGTGGGTTTGAGGAGGGCTATGCGGGCAGCTGTATCAGGGTTAGAGCAGGGAGGGGTTGGCAGCTGGGGCTGGTTTCAGGTTGGGGCAGGGCAGGTGAGTTACAGCTGCCTCCACCCCAAGCCCTGACCTGACACTGTTGCCCCAGATACAGCTGCCCTGACCCCCTTAGCCCTGATGTATCTGGGGCTACAGCAGGTGGTCAGAGTAGGGGTTGGGAGGTCGGGGCAGCTGGAGTAGGTGGGTCAGAGCAGGGGTTGGGAGGTCGGGGTGTCTGTAGTTGGGCTGGAGTAGGTGGGTCAGAGCATGGGTTCGGAGCAGGGCCGGGGCTGAGCAGGGAAGCAGCTTGCAGGTGGCTCCAGGGTAGGGCTGCAGGAGCGGGTGCCACTTGGTTCCTGCAGGGCCTGGAGGCTGGGGAAACTGCTGCCGGGTGGTATGGGAGCTAAATGTAGCTTGAGCAGCTGGGGCTGGGGAAGGGCTCACCCTGAGTGGGGCGCTGGGGCTTGGCGTGAGTGCAGGCTGGCAGTGCTGGGGAGCTCAGACAGGAGCGGGAGAGGCTGGGTCTGGGGAGGGGTATGCAGGTTAGGAGCAGCTAGCTGTTTGGCTTGTGAACTTTAGGCTACAGAATAGCTGCTCGTGCTTATTCAACTCTGTATTCTGTGCACCTAACCTAGCTCCCCCCAAAAGCCCGTGTGGGAACCCCTGCCCCCTTCCACCTGCTTGTGACCCCCTCCCCAAAGGGAAAGGAGAGGGGGAGAGATTCACAGACAGTGTATGGGCCTGTGCAGGGTGCCCTGGGGGTCACGAGTGCCCTTGGCCATGTTGCATTGTGTGGGTGCATGCTGGTGACAGAGACCCTCAAAAGCGTGAGCTTTGGGAACAGGGAAGGAAGGAGTGCGAGGGTGTGAGGCAATGCAAAAACTGTGATGATTGAAAGCAGCTTTCAGTTGCACACCTTGTAAAATTTTGATTGGCGTTCTTACATGCAAGAGACTTGTTAATGCCCTAATATTGCAGTAGTGAAAACTTTACAAACCCCCTTGAAAGCGAATTTTTAGGTCACAAGTCAGATGACTGAGATTTGGCCTACCTTTGAAATATCTAGCTCTTCCCCAGAATAAACTGAATTAAAATCACAAATTGGAACCGAATGTTACTACCCAAGTTTAATGCTAAAGTAAGAGACATGCACCCTTCAGGGCTCAGCAGTGGCTGTGTTCACTGAAACTACACAAAGAAGACAAAAATAATTTTTAATGCCACTGAGCACAGGTATGCACTCATTTCCAGCAGAGATGTCAAACTATAGATGACAGAATACAGATTGAAGTTTATGATTCAAATAAAAAAAGTTAAGAATATTTCTGAAATGTAACTTGCATGTATGGAGAATCAATTGCAAGATTCAGTGTGAATTAAGAGACACTGGTTTAGTACACTCTTCATAAATTAATAACTAGAGTAGTTCAACTAAAGTTAGAAGCCAGCCAAGGGTGATTTGGGCAGCCTGTCAAAATGTTACATAGATGTGAAATATTGGAACATTTCTTTCCTACAAGTTGTTGTTTCCTAGTTACTCTTTTTAAATAAAGTTATGCTTTGTACATGAATTAAACCCACATTGGACTGATCTTATTGTCCATCTTTTAAATTTTAGGTAGAAAGAAAAGGCTGCACACCATCTTGCACCATTTAATTTTGTTGTGAGGGCAAAGATGGTAAATCCGCACCATTATTGAACCAAGCTCTCAATATGTATGAGAAATATGAGGAACGCTTGTAGTAAGAAAAAAAAAATGCATTCTTTATTTATGAAAAGTTGAGCGTGCATGCTCAAACTGACAAAGCTATTTTATAATTTGTACAGATTCCTAGTAACACTGAGCAGTAATTATATAACTGAATTGAATTAGATTTAAAAATTGGAAGTGTGCTATTTTGGAGCAGGACTTCATTACTCTTATGTAGACTAGTTTAGAAGAAGCATTACAATCTGGAGATTTAAAATTAAAAAAGGAAGCTGAAATGAAAATGTTGGTTCTGAAGTATTCCAGTAAGAAATTTTGAAATGTATTGAGATCAGTTTATCTTACCATTCAAAATTCTGAAAACCTGAGCATCAAAATATGGGGGAAATGCTGTACTATAAATATCTTGATTAAAAAATATAAATACTTCAGAAGTTCAGATTTTCTATCTTGGAAAATTTTGTGGGCGACAAGCAAATGGGCTAATTAAAATGACACCTGGTTAATTAAGGAACTTTTAATAAGACGTTTCACAACACTGGAAGTTTTGTTAACATGTACTTACCTACCTAAAATGCACAGGAGATTTGGAGAATGGAGTGTCAGGGTTTGTTACTATTGGTAATTCTGGATTCTAGCTATCAATCAGTTAAATGCTGATAACTACATATATCTAGGAAGTCTGATGAAAAGAATTAGTTGAGACTTGAGGACTTGGCTCTTATCCTCAGAAATAATAGAAGTGTTGAGGAAAAACTCCTTTTCAGTGTCTTTTTATGCTTCAGGAATGAAATAGACAAACAGAAGAGCACACCCAGTTTTTAATTTTCAGGTCCTTCACTGACTAGTAGCCAGATGTAGTATGAAATGTTCATTTCTGTTTGACTCTAGTGCAGAGTTATGGTATTGCTCATTAGTTACCCAAATAAACCAAGTCACTCAAATGCTTATGCATGTGCTTAAGTTACCCGAATAAAGTAAGAATGTGTGGATGTATTTGCAAGGCTGGCCAATGATTCGGTTTCCTTTCTTTTCCTTGGTTGAAATGTAAATTGTAGAGGTATGGCATTTTCTTTACTGATTTTTTGCGGCTTAATTTATTATGTTCTGTGCAGAATGGCTGTTGATGGTGGGTGTGGGGACACTGGAGACTGGGAGGATCGCTGGAACCATGTAAAGAAATTCCTCGAGCGATCTGGACCATTCACACACCCTGATTTCGAGCCAGGCACTCAAGTGAGAAATGTTTATTTTAAATAAAACTATTCATAGTGTGTGTTGCAGGCTAATATAAAGATGTTCATTAGTTTATCATCCAGCAATGTCAGATTCCTAAACTGCATGCAAAAAACTTATCTTTAGAGTTAAGCAAACAACACTTATTTTTTACAAGAAAATACAGTATAATGAATACCTTTTTACAGATTTATGCCAGATTAAGAGAGTTTGTATGTGCTAATTAAACTGCACACCACAGCTTCTGAAATTCAACAGAAAATAATATTTCTCTCTCCTGGATTTAGATAATTTTTGCTTCATTTATGAGAAATTCTTAACTTTATTTAAAATTAAGCTCAATATAAGCAGTTCTATTATTGGGAAGGGAGTCATTTTAGTAGGAATGGGCAAAGCTATTCTGTCTGCCTCTGGCTTGTGGTGGGTATATGGTGGAACAGTTCATGGAGAGCAGCCGCACAGTGCAAAAATATGAATGCTCTTTGGGATAGCAGTATTTTATATCTTTGTGTTTGTTTTCATTTTGTACCTCCTTTTAGTAGATGTCTTCAGCAGGAGGAAAGCAACATAATATCTTTTAACAAACTTTGTCACTGAGAGAGAATGAGGTGGAGATGCTGCTTATTTCAGAAACAAAATAAAATGCAAGTAAATGAAGGCAGCGGTGAAATCACTAGACATCTTGCTCTTATTAAAGTCAGGGTATTAGAACTGCAGGCACTGAATAACTGCTGAAGTCCAATATCTGTATACAGATAAAGGGGTGATTTGTTCTGTTGCAGATCTAAATGTTTTATGAATAGATTATTGGGTATCTATCTGTATTAATGGTGGTAGTCTTATGATGCTGCAAAGCAAATTATGGTTTTCTCTTCAACATATTAATGTTCTTTTTTCCATTCTTTACAGGCTCTTGATTTTTTGTTAAGCACATGTAAAGTTCTAGTTATTGGAGCAGGAGGATTAGGATGCGAACTCCTGAAAAATCTGGTAATTACTTTTGTTTTCAGCTGTTTCTTGTGATCCTCATTTTCTTTTATGGGTGAGGAACCATACTGTAGTTCCAACTGCAACTTCACTGAAGTAAGTTAAATAGCTTCTGTACACAGTTTCTTAAGCATTTTATGTAAATGCTAATAGTTCAACTTGAAGTCTACTCTTTGCACTCACTTTCAGCTTTGATTTGAGTACAGACCTGAAGAGCCCCCTGATTGACATTTAACTCTGAAATTGTTGTTGAAAATACCTTATTATTGTAAAATAATTAATTTTCTGCTTTGTCACTTCTGAACCTTGGAAGTGAGGGAGAAATGTTTTTTTTCATAAGTTAAGAACACATGACACCATTCTGTCCCCTAACGTTCACTTGTAAAAGTAGGTTACTGAAGACCAGTGTACTGCTAATTTGCTTGTACTGCAGCTGTTTGGGCTAAAAATATTATGTCAAGTATTTCAAGGTGAATATCTCATTCACTTTGTTAATGTACTAGCTTCAAAGCATACTTTGACCACTTGAAACGCTTTTAATCCAGTTTATCCAAACACTCACTAACTTTTGGGATCAACATTTTAATTGGAGAATAATTATACCCGACTAGAAATTAATTGCTTAGTTTACAGGAAATGTTAATGCATACTAAGCAGTATATCCTAACTCTAAATATTTCAGATTTTTAAATTTATTCCTGCAAAACTAATGTTGGAATAAGCCATCCCTTAAGCCTAAAATGTAGTCTTCTACAGCTATAGCCAGTGGGCTTTTTTAAATCTAGGCAAAGGATATTTGTTGCTAGAAAAAGCCAGAAGTATTAATATTATCAATCTGTAATCAGTTGAGAAGATATTTCTAGATTCCAGCAGAGGTTGGCTTACAAGCATTTGAGATGTGTTTTAATATGACCATATGAGCATCTCACTTCCTCTTATTCTCTTCACTGATTTTATCCACAGGCACTGTCTGGTTTTAGACAGATCCATGTTATTGACATGGACACTATAGACGTTTCTAATCTGAATAGACAGTTTCTGTTTCGGTAAGTGATAATTCCATTATTTTAAATTCTTTTTCAAACCTGATCAAAATACATTTATATTTTACTCTCAGTATAGTTCAGATCAAGATAATAGCTGTGCTTTACTAATCCTCAGGTCTGATTATGCATTGCTTTGCCTTTTGTGTAATCACTTGCACATTTATAAAGTAAATGTATTATTTTTACTTCATTGTGTCTTGCATCCAGATTAAAAATTTATAGGCTGAAACAAGTACACAAGATGCAAAGCAGTTACCTTTAATTTTGCCAGTTACTAACCTTTGTTTCTTGAATATGTTTGTGTAGAAATATGCAAATATTCAGTAATGTTTTAATACTTAATGTTTTAAATGAGAAAAGTCTTACTGTTTTTCATCGTACCAAGAAGAAACAAGTGCTGTGTATCAAAGTGAACTGAGAAAATACACTGCAGAAAATTATTGTTTTGGCCAAGGGAGAACCTAGATTATAGTCTCTTCCAAATTTAATTTCTCTGAGGAAATTTGATAGGTTTATAAAATTAAAACAAAATTCTAATCCGGCCGTAGTTGGCATAATAGCAAATAGGGAATATGTAAGTACTTGTATTCTTTGGTGACTTCTGCATCTGGAATACTGAAATACTAATATTGAAATATTAGTTGATCAATGGCTACAGCAACTAAAATGTAACAAATTCTCTTAGCCTTTCTAAACACACAATTCATTTTTTTTATCTTCATTTGATTTTGGTGGGAATTGCCATGCCAATTTGAGAAGAGATTTTGCCTCACATTTTGGTTTAATATGTTTTAACCATCAATTGAACTTTGAGATGCGAGTTAGTTAACAGTACAGAAAAAAATTTCAGTTGGACGCAAGTATTGCGCCTCTTTCAAGAGAATAAATCTCTTAAGCAGAACAGTATTGTTGATGCCTGAGGAAATGGAATGGGTAATACCACCAAAGAATTTGTGTACGTTGCAGTATCAACTTCAAAAATGCTGTTTTCCTTGCTAATAAAAAACAAATGAACAAAAACCCGTTTTTCAGGTTTGGTGACAATTGCTATTTGAAGCTATATAGAAAACTGTCTTATGTTTGCCAACTGTCTGAAGTTTGAGTAAATGCCATCAAAGAAATGATGGGCATACTCCTTACAGTACTTATATTAGTAAGTTGTCCTGCCTTACAGTATTGGGAGAGGCATTGTCACCAAAATGAATGGGTGCTACTAGAATAACAGTTTTGAAAGCACTCTCTTGCAGATCCAAAGATGTTGGAAGACCTAAAGCAGAGGTTGCAGCAGAATTCCTGAACAGCCGAATCCCTAATTGTGCTGTCGTATCGTATCCTTCTCTAGACCAGTAACAGCCACTGAGATGTCTAGCATTTACGAATAGCCTGTGGGTGGTCAGGCTATTTAAAGAATCTAACTTCTGCCCTTTCCATTTGTTCAACAAAAAAACACATTCATTGGACTAATGGCTAAAATTCTTGGGCCAGCTCTGGCTCCTAGAACGTAGGACACATGCATGGGCAGTCAGTCACTTTGCCTGGGCAGCTCAGGTTTGTCAAACTGATATAACATGACCTCTGCATGTGACTTCATCACAGGTGTCATTGACAGGAACAGGCAACTGGTTGGTGCTTTGAAGTCTAATATCCTGAAATATTTTCTAGCATATCTGTTGAATTTTATTTCATAAAGTATCTTATTAGTATTTGCAAGATCCTCTGGTCAATATGAATCTATTCAACTAGAATGAAATATCTGAAAAACTTCAGAAAATTGCCAAGCCCAAATGTCCATGTCCCTCTTGGATGACTTGAACAGTTTCCATGAATTTTAAGTTCTCTGATCACTATTAAATATTTGTATGTTTGTTTTTTTAAATACCGAGTTTGTGTTTCACCTAAACTTGATTATAAAGATGCTCAAATCATATAATTCCTTTACTGCCTGTACATTCAGACATTTTAAAAAGATTCAAGATATGGATGAAGCTTTCTATCGACGTAAGTGATATTTCCTAAATATACAGATTCTCCACTTGTGCTTCAAGAAAAGATTATAATGGTTGCTGGGTTTTTTTCCATCAAGGTGTTCATTTTTTTATTGTCCCTGTGCAGTTATGCAGACAATATTTTTGGGTAAAGACTAAAACTTAGATGGAACTTGCTTGTGGGCAACATAGGGTAGATATTGGGACTGCATTTTATTTCTATTTTAAAATTCATTGACAAAATATATTGTCTACTTTGGGAAACATACACTGGTATACAATTTAAATAACACTTTCTCTTCTAGAATTTCATATTATTGTATGTGGTCTGGACTCTATAATTGCAAGAAGATGGATAAATGGCATGCTGGTAAAGACTTTATTTAATATTTTTTTTAATTATTCACTATTTAAATTAAACTAACAGTTTTGTGCAAATTATAGCAGTAATATAAAATAAAAGGCTTTTGCACAGTAAAACTGGTTAAGGTATCGATCAAGACCTGCATTTTACATTATGTTTGCATGTATTTTTATCTTTGTTTTATGCTTGTAACACTGGATTTTAGTAAACACATGTTACCATATTATGTCTTGTGAAAAAAGCGTCACCTAAGGTTTTAGATGTAAATTAGATCAGGATTTTGAGGCTGTTGAAGGTAGGTGGCTAGTTTATCTTGAGTGTGTGCTGGGTAAAATGTTGCTCATCCTGCTGAACAACTGTCTGGTTCACAAAATCTGCCAGCATAATTGGTACTATTTTGGCCCTTTGTTTGCATCTGAGAGGCTAGACATGAAATGAGCAAGGAAACAGTTATCTTTTTTTAATGCTTTGGACTCATCCTTCCAAGCCAAAACTAAATGGCAGGGGGTCAGACTCGATGATCTGCTCAGGTCCCTTCTGACCCTAGAAACTATGAAACGATAAAACACAGTAAAAGGTGACAGGACGAAGTCTGTGTTGTTGCTGGTGTGGTCCACAAAATCCATGGGGAAAAATTTTCTGAAAATAAAATGCTGGCTCCCCAGTGGCACAGCCTGGCACTAAGGGGGCTGCCGGCACAAAGGCAAGCCAGCAAGATAGCTGCCTCTACCCCTCACCGCTGATTGGCAGAGAGGACTGCCTGTGGCCATGCCCCTTTCCACCAATCCGTAGCAAGGAGTGGGGCCACATGACTGCTCTTGGCCAATCAGTGGTGAGGGTTGGGGGCTGTATGATGGACAGCCCTCTTTCTCAATCAGTGGAGGGTGGGGCCACCAGGACCCCATAGCCTATCAGAGGCATGGGGGGGCTGCTATGATAAACCCACAAAAATGGGCCATCTACCTGTGAAATCAGCTGGCTGCTGCCTTGAGTTGGTTAGACCCCTAAATGTAAGGTATTTGAATTACTTGGAGCAGAGCTGCCCACTTAAACCGTTTTGTGTAGAATCTCACAAACTATCCTATTATGATTGCTCACATCTCCAGCAAACTGCACCCTTGTCCGCACCATTTCATCAGGATGTCTGCCTGAGATGTGTAAAGCTATTTGTAGGTACTTGATCTTGTCAGCACAGTACCATAGGGCTGATCATTTAGCGACAGGTACAAAGTAGGGGTCCTTAGCTTGTGCGCTTAATGCTGAGAGCATGCCATCAGCAATTCTGCATGGAGTTCCATATCAGTAAATAATGTCTACATCTGTCTGATATAACTGTCTGCTACATTCTCATGTACTGTATTTACCTGAATCCAAGGTGGCTTCGAATTTAAGACCCCCCCCTCCCCAGTAATTAGATTCTAGAAATAGAAAGTTATCACTTTGAAATAATTTTTCCATGTCTGGAATATATTGGGCGGTTGTCTTAAATTTGTCCCCTGCACTCTGTAGCAAGGAAGGCAGTAGTTGGGGAGGGGGACCAGGCAGCCTGCCTCTTGCCACTGGCTTCTCCTTGATGCCTGTTCTCTACCTTGCTGCCTGGAGAGAATGGTTCATGTGAATCAGGACAGCAAATTAATCTCTTGGCCAGGAAACAAATCTTTCTCCTCTGTGTTATGTTAAGACATGTTTTGGGGATGGGGTCCAAGATAACTGGTGAGCCTCCACAGGGAAACAAGAACAAATGCATTAGAGAGGTGTTTATAAATGGTAAAGAACTAGTTCTTTGCTGTTCCTTAGTACATCCTCCTGTGTTATATCTTCAAGAAAGAGAGAAATTCCCACAGTATAAAATTGAATGTAACCTGTGCAAACTCTGATTTCATTAGATGTCATTTTTACACTATGAAGATGGTGTACTAGATCCAAGTTCCATCATACCTTTGATAGATGGAGGGACAGAAGGCTTCAAAGGAAATGCACGTGTGATTATTCCTGGCATGACGGCATGTGTTGAATGCACTCTTGAACTTTATCCACCACAGGTAACCTGGTGTTGATTATTTTTATAGTAAGCATTCCATTTCTTTTGTTTTGTTGCCTGCTCTTCCCGCGCCACTTCTTTCCTCTCCACTTCCTCACAGGCTGTGTTTAATTTATTTTATGATCTTTCCTTGTCAGATCAATTTTCCAATGTGCACCATTGCATCTATGCCCAGGTTACCTGAACACTGTATCGAGTATGTCAGGATATTGCAGTGGCCAAAGGAACAACCTTTTGGAGGTAATTGATAGACTCCATTGATCCAAAGGTGTTTGTAATGGACCATTGGTGTTTAGATAATCAAAATTTCTTTTGATGCTTATTTGTGCCAAAGGCAGACATAAATTTGGTAACTTTTTGTTTGCTTTTTAGTTTGCATTTTGTATCTTAAAAAAAACAAACACAGGCTGGCTGAATTTGCTGTTGAATTAAAGTACTCTGCCAGTTTACAGCCTGAAGCAAACATTTTGTGACTACAGTTAGAAAAACAATAGACTTATCCTGTTGAATAAACAGTTACTGGCTTCTTCACATGTTGCTCATTTAAATTCATACGCATCATCAGCAGAAAAAAGAACTGAGAAGTGATTGTTTGGAGGCAGTAATGCAACTGTGTTTTCTACTTATGTAGACATATACAGATGTATAATTTTTTCATTGAGTTTCTGTGAATGACTCCATTATTGAAATACATGCTGCTATTATGCTGGATAATTGACACAGAATAAGATATTCATGTTATGGTAGTTTAAGCTTTTCATAGCTTTACCTTTGTGTGATGCAGTAATTCACTGAATTTTAATTTGTTTATATAATATTTTTACTGAGTTCAATACTTGTTTTTGAAGTATCTTGCGTAAGTAAAAGTCAGTTTCAACAACTGACGTTTACATAAACTGTCAAAGTGTAAATGTTGCTTACATATACAAATGACTTTGCTGCTATGTTTTAAAATCATTGCCATTTATCTTTTCTTTAAAAAAAAAAAAAAAAGTACTGGTACCCTACGGATTTTGGAGAAGCAAATACAAGCCTCTTTGCAAAACCCAGTCATTATTTAAAGGGGAAAAAATGGCTCTGACTTTTTGGTCTACTGACTTTTAACATTGCTTTTTTAAAATAGTGTACATTCCTAGCACTTGAGACCATGTAGCTAGTCTGCAGCCCATCACTCTGAAAAGATATGCTCCAGACTTAATGGTAAAAAATATGAACATGCACAGTTAAAATCAGCAGGTGGTTTTGGCCTAATGGTTCCCTGTAGGATTTTTAAAAGGCGCACACAATCTCCCATGTCAAACCCTCCAGAGATTGCTAAATGTGGAGGGATGGATCTTACTCAAAACACCTCATCTTCCATCTGTTCATCCTTTTTACCTCAGTAAAACCCATGGGGGGAGGAGAGCCCCTCAGCTGGATTTGAGTTGAAGAGAATTGTGCTGAACAGTCTCCCTACCTGTTCAGACTGGCATCCCACTCCTGCATTATTATTTTGTATTCAACCAGGCTTTCCCTGTTCCAGTCTTCTCGCTCCCAACAATGACACTTCCTGGCTGACCCCACAACCTCACCTTGCAGATTTTTATATAAGGCTTACATCAGGGTATAATGTGTGTGGAAGTCTGATTTAATGAAGTAGTTTTGCCAACACCTGCAAGCTTGTGGGTTAATTTTCACCAAAACTCATCGAGAAACTGCAAGTTTGTGTTAATCCATGGCATGTTGGTATTTACAAAGAGCTATAATAGATTTAAACAAACTTGTCTTTTTCCCTCTAACTTTCTTGTAGAGTGTGTTCCTTTGGATGGAGATGATCCAGATCACATACAGTGGATTTACCAAAGAGCTTTAGAAAGAGCATCACAGTTTAACATTAAAGGTGTTACGTACAGACTAACTCAAGGTAAGAGAATGGTATTTTAGTCGATGTTAGTGCAGAGTACCATCTTGCAAATGATGGCCTCTTTGTTCAGAAGGTATTCAGCTGTGTCTCTGGCTTTATGTACAAAACTTCAAAATACAGTTTTACCTATTCTAGAAGAATGTCTAGAATGTCTATTGTGGAAATCATAAATGGGAGGCGGTGTAAAGTGATTTCAGGTATACCCATCTGCAGTCAAAACCATCACCAGTTTTGCATAACATAATTCGTCACGTGAAAATCATTTCTGGAAAAAACAAACCTATGTGTTTTACCTTGGCAGGGGTGGTTAAGCGGATCATTCCAGCTGTGGCATCTACAAATGCAGTCATCGCAGGTATAGTAATACCAGGAGGCAATGCTTTTGTACATGTGGCTTCATGTTTCAGTAGAAGTTCCTAGCATCTAGAATGCAAGCTGTACTTCACTCCACCTATTCTCAATAAATACTGAGCTTTTCCTAGGCAATTAAGGATTCGAGGGCTAGTGTGGCTGCAGCTGGGTTTTGTCACTTTGATTGGCCCACTTTCTTTTTTTTTTATTACCCTATTTTTGCCTTCATATGGCAGCAACTTTGGTCTTGCCTGAATTTTGATCTTCCTGTGGGAGTAAGCAAAAGCTTGCCTCAGATGAGAGAGATGGGAGGAATAATGCAAGCTGCCTCCAAAACTGCCTTGAATTCATGTCAAAATCACATTAGTATGTAGCCTCTGAGCTTCCTGTCAGTATGCTGGATAGAACCTCTTATTTTTCCCTTATTTATGCAATATATTGACTTTGCATGCGTGCATGTATGTGTGTGTTCTGAGATTTGAGAACAAAGTAACTGTTTTTCCCTTTCCAGCTGTATGTGCCAGTGAAGTTTTTAAAATAGCTACAAGGTAATGTGTTGGTTTTTAATAACATAAATATTTTCAGCAAGGTTATTTGTATAAACACTAACACATTTCTCATTACAGTGCATACATTCCTCTTAACAATTACTTGGTGTTCAATGATGTAGATGGACTCTATACGTATACATTTGAAGCTGAGAGAAAGGTCAGTACTATTACACCTGAGCCTCTAGGCTTCTGAGGTTGTTCTCGATTTGTTGTAGTACCTTTTGCAATAGCAATTGGATACTTATTTGTTAAATTTAAAATTGAATTTCTTTGGCTCCCACCATTGTACGGAAATATTTTCCTAGTATTAAAAAATATAACTGACTCTTAACTTAATACATAGGATTTTTTATGTGCATTTGTGTGGTTGTTTAGTTTAATAGTGGTGGCAGTCTGTAGATGAATCGGTTTCTCAGAGTAGCAAGACTTTTCCCTTATCAAATTAACTAAGGTGAATAGTAGTTGAGCTCAGGGTTCACAAGGTATCTTTAATGTATGACAAGTGTACTTTACACCCCAGGCACTGTGCTGTTACTCTGGGAAGAAATTTCTTTGCTCCAGGCTTCCACATCCTCAATAAACAGTAGTATTGTTCCACTGGGTGTCATCAATTAAAATAGAAGGGGCTTATTTGATAGCTGAACCAAAGGCCTGCCTCTGCTTTACCTAGATTCATTATAGGGTAGATAAAATTTGTTGGGTGACTTAATGAAGAAATATTGATACCTGTCAGGCCAAGGTTTCTCAATTCCTAAGACAAGTAGTTCTTGCTGCAGGAAGCATTTTCTATCAGCTACTTGCGTTGGGATGCTGGCATGCCACTTCTTTAAAAAAGAACTGGCATAACTTCTTTAAAAAACTATTTAGAAAAGGTGTTTTTTAGGTGGTTAAATTCTTAACTTCAGCATTTGCTTTTGCCAGTCTACCTGGAGGAAAACGGTATCTGTCTGGAGAGCTAAATGTATAGCAAGGAAGCTTTACTGTTCTGACATGAAGAATTGTAACCCACGGAACAAAATACAATGTCTAATGACACAACAGCATTTGTCCTAACACCCTTGTTTGTTCAGTAACAAGACTACCATATTAACCCCAGATGTTAAACCAGACATATTACAGGCTGGCTGTCCTGCTTTGTGTATGCAAAAAATGCTTGTTGTATGTTAATAACTAAGGGCTTGAAACCAAGCCCAATTAAAAAGCTGATGGAAATGTTCCAATCGGGTGTACTGGGAACTGGATTGCATCCTTAATTTGCACACAAGTGCTACTATTTCTAAATCTAAGGATGAATACATTTCACAAATAATTGTAAATGGCAAAGTTTTTACTGGCATTTATGTTTTTGGAACTATCTGTTGTTATAAACCTGATTCCTATATAACTTTTCTTGTAGGAAAATTGTCCTGCCTGCAGCCAGCTCCCCCAAAATATAGAATTTTCTCCATCTGCTAAGTTGCAGGAGGTCTTGGATTACTTGACAACTAATGCTTCATTGTAAGTGTGTAACTATTCTGGCTACTTATTTTGAGGAACTTGTTGTTTTGCAGCATGTTAATATTTATTTTTAAAACAAACTTGCTCGATGTGTTTCCTATCTACTTTTTTCATATTTTTCACGCAGGCAAATGAAATCTCCAGCAATCACAGCAACGATGTATGGGGGGAATAAAACACTTTATTTACAGGTAATTTCTATTGTCATAATTCTGCATAGTTACTGAAGCTCTGTGTAAGTTTGCTGCCTTGTTTAATTGAAAATAAAGTGTTTCTTGTCTCTTCCCTCCCCCCACCCAGACTGTAGCTTCAATTGAAGAACGAACAAGGCCGAATCTTTCGAAGACATTGAAAGGTATTGTCAAACTGACTTGCAAAGTTACAGTTTAAGTGATTCATGGTTCCAGTGTTCTGTTTTACCTCTGTGGCAAGCTGCACTTCGTCCTCCTATTACTGCAAAACAGTATAAGGAACAGATATCTTAAATTGGTTGCAAGTTGCATTGGATAGAAATTAAATGAAATTAGGACATACCTAGTGTTAGAGACCTTGGTTTGCCATTTTGTTACATGGAAAGGTAGAAATTGCTGTGCTGTTATGAAACTTAAGGATTTATTGATTTATTACAAAATACTCGGTGCCTAATGGTTCTGTACCTAGTTTTTTGTGGCAGAGAAACTGTAAGGATAACTTACCTCTGATTAGGATTTTCAACGCAGTTTGCTATCTGTTTCCCTTTGGAATTTTAACCATGTTGCAAAAGACAAAGGGGAGTGAGAAATTTCTTGATTGTTTTCCATTCTCACTTCCCTGGTTCTGCTCTGCAGCAGAATATGCTTCCAAATTGTTTTTCCTGCTGTTACAGGGGTGTAGGTTGTAGTCGTGTTGGTCTAAGGACACAGACAGACAAGGTTCTTTGGGTGAATCTGATATCTTTTATTAGACCAACTCAGATAGTTGGAAAAATTCTTCTTGGCAAGCTTTTGGGTTTAAATACCCTTTGTCAGGCTGAGGAAGCATCTGCAGTTGGTATGTGCTCTTCCTGAATGGAATAAATAGTAAAGAAACTAGGTGCTGTGCTGGTAAGCATACAAAACAGGCAGTCAGTGAAGATGTAAATTTTCCTGCTGTCTCACTTTCCTGTAAGTTACTCTAGACATGAGCTCCCCTCTCTTGCAGTATCACTTGTATGAACAGATCCCATTAAAAATACATTACCCAGCAAATAAGGTAATCATTGAGCTAGAACTTGTTTAGATCTAGCCTGTTTTGTTCTTGACAAATACCTTGTGTTAGTCAACTTCACTGTAATTCAGTGAATAAGCTGTTAAATCTAACACACGTATACACAACTCCTCTAGCTTTCTTAGAGGTGACAGACTTGTGTTTTTAAATTTGCAAAACTGTCACACTTATCTTCTTTTTTTCCCCTTTCAGAACTTGGTCTCGTGGATGGCCAAGAACTTGCAGTGGCTGATGTTACTACTCCACAGACTATGCTGTTCAAGCTTCATTTTACTACTTAATTTACACACAATTGATTCCCACATTCATTGGGAGAAGTCTGCACACCTTGTCAAACAAATGTACTCTATGTGCATGTTTAAATGTAACCTAAAATGTCCTTTTTAGTAACAGCATTGCTGGAAGTTCATTTATCCCAAAAGAATCACCTATATTTTAGAACTGACTCTCTTAGAAGCCAATATTTGGTGGATGGTACTTGTATAAATGCTCCTTTTAATGTACAGAGAGCCCTGATACAGTGATAAATGTTTTTTTCAATGTGTGTTGATACTCTTAAAATAATGCTGATGCTCCTTCCTATGCATGACAGTTCTGTGATGATCAAAGGAGTTGTTCCGTTCTGCATCTGAATGCCCACCTGTACAAAAAGAATATCCTTAAAGAGAACCATGGTGATTTTAATTTAAATTTTAGAACCCATATACATTTCCTGAATCTTGAGACCTGAGGGCTGTAGAGGAAAATAAGCATTATGCTTGTTTATTTAATACTCATTTTTATGAATTTGCTTAACAGATACTAAGTATTGAAAAGACTTAATTGCGTTGTTTACGAAATAGGGGAAAAGACGATGTAATTGAACTAAACGAACACCTGTACATGAAAAAGCATTTCCTTGTGTATATGTGCAACGGACAAGTGGCTGCTATGTACAGTATTGCAGTCAAAAACCCACTTATGTTCAGGACTGAGTTGTATTTGGTTATTATTGATGCTGTCACGATATTTATTAATAAAAACAAAAAGATAACGTTAGTCTGCTGATTGTGTGACCACTATTAAAATGCTTAAAGTTACAACCATGTAACTATTTAGGAGCAAAAAAGGGTTGGGGGTGGCTGGGTGCGAGCATCACGAACTCAGGCAATTCCTGCCTCCTTCCCTATCTGTGCCTGGAGGAAGAATAAACAGTAAATGCTTCAAGACAATGCATGGGAGAGACTGAATCATTTTATGACGTACAAAAAACTCGTATGAGCAATCAGCTGCATTTACAATGAATATGAAATAGTAAACATTACAGCAAGCTGGAATATTTTGTAAGCGTGATACAGAGCAGAACACTAATAGTGTAAAGAAACCAAGCTCACTGTTTCAGTGCAGTGAGATACCAGGTGATTTATTCAGAGGTGTAATCGTTAGCTAGTCTTGGAAATGACTCCACCAGTTTGAGCAAGGATTTGACTTGCTTGCGAAGACTCTGTACAAGTGGGTGCATCTACGCATGTGCTCAACTGCGGAGTAAAGTGTCACCCTCTACCTGTGTGATGCTATTAGGCCACAGTAAAATATCGCTGCCGTAAGATAGTACTGTTGGGGATGGGCCCGTTTTACGGCAGGGTAAACTGGGATTAAGCACGTGTAGATGGTGACTCCGGGCATACCCTGTGCCTGGTCTGCCAAGCCAGCAAAGGCCAGACTGCTGCCTGGGCCCGTGCCCAGCCACACAACTCCGCAAGGTCAGGACCCTCGTGGCGCAGCCGGACCCTCTGCTACCCGCTCTGCCCTTGCCACTATCAGCTTCTCGGCTACGGCGGCCCAGCGGGGGCAAAAAACAGACGCGGAGCCACACACGCTTCTCCGAACCCAACCCCCGCAACAAGGGCGAGGCGCAACCGGAAGAAGAAGCCGCTGCTCCGCTATGACACATACCGAGGCGGAAGTGGAGCCTGCTGTCCGCCATGACAGTCCCCGAGGCGGAAGGGGCAGGAGCGTTGATCGGGCAACTATGGCGGCCGTTGAGGCGCGGCCACGTGACAAAGGGTGGCAACGTGGAGCGGCGCAGCGCGCAGGCGCGGGCGGAGCGGCCATGGCCGCGGCCTGAGGAGCGGCGGGGCCATGAGCTGGTTCAACGCGTCGCAGTTGTCCAGTTTCGCCAAGCAGGCGCTGTCGCAGGCGCAGAAGTCTATCGACCGCGTGCTGGACATCCAGGCCGAGGACGGGCCCTGGGTCGAGCCTGCCCGCCCCGACGGCGCCTGCGGTACGTGCCCGGGTCGGGGGCGTGGGAGCCGAGGCCGCGTTTGCCTGGGGCGGGGCCGGCCCCGGTGTCAACAGCGCGT